TAACAAGGAGCATGTGCTGGCCGCAGCAAAGGTAATTCTAAAGAAGAGCCCGGGTTAGAAGTCAAAGAACATATTCTTGAAAGTTATTCTGATGCATTCTTGTGGGTGGTAACAGGTCATAAAGACGTGTTTTTACACATCAATTACTATGGGATTATTAAATATTGGCTAGAAGAGAAAATAATAGTAAGTTAATTCAATTAATAAATTATTAAATTAAATTTTATGATTTTAGACTTATAGAATAAAGTAAATAATAAATTATTAAATTATCAATATGTAATGTCCTTCCTTGTCCCTTGTAATAGTTTTTGGCATAAAGCCTGTTTTGTCCAATATTAGTACAGCAACCCCAGCTCCCTTCTGGCAACTGTCTGCACGGAATGGCTTTTTCCTTCCTTTCACTTTCGACCCCTTTGTGTGTTTGAATTTAAAGTGTGTTTCTTGTAGACAGTATATAGTTGGTTCATGTTTTTAAAAATCCATTTTGTCATTCTCTGTCTTGGTTGGAAAGCTTCATCCATTTACCTTTAAAATAATTGCCAATAAGGAAAGACTTCTGTCACTTTGCTGTTTGTTTTCTATATATCTTAAAGTTTTTTGTCCCTCATTTTCTCTTCCTTTTGTGTTTTGTTAATTATCCGTAGTGAACCACTTTGATTCCGTTTTCATTTCCTTTGTGTATAGTCTGTTGGTATTTTCTTTGGGAAGAAGACTACAGTAAAATCAGATTTTCCTGTGGGGCTTACATTTCCCATGATGATTAGTTTGCTAGGGCTGCCATAACAAGGTACTGTCGACTGGGTGATTTCAACAACAGAACGTTTATTTTCTCTCATCTGGATGATAGATGTTGAAGACCAAAGTGTCAGTAGATTTGTCCTTTCAGCACTTGAGAATCTGTCATCCTCTGGACCCCATGATATCTGATGAGAAATTGGAAGTAATTTTGTTGAGCATAATTTGTCCATGATGAGGTGCTTCTCAGTGCTTTCAGGGTTGTCTTTGGCTTTCAACAGTTTGATGAATGTGTCTCAGTGTGAGTCTCTGATTTTTATCTTTCTTGAAAATTGGTGAGTCTCTTGGGTTTACAGATTCAGATTCATGTCTTTTATCAAATCCAACCCAGGGCTTTTTAATTTCTCTGTCTTTATTGTTGTTTATTTCTATTTTATTTTCAGTTGAAAAGTTCTAGGAGTTTCTTTGAGGTTTGGGGCCATATTGTTAGAGGTGTGTGAACCAGAGTAAGTCCATCTGAAATAGGAACTGGGTAAATGACCTACTGGGCTGCATTCCCAGATGGTTAAGGCATTTTAAGTCACAGGATGAGACAGGTTACAAATGCCATGGCAACATCAGGAAGTTGCCCTATATGGTCTAAAAGGGGAGGCATGAAGAATCCACCCCTTGTCTAGAGTATTATCAGGAAATAACCATAAAAATGGGCAACCAGCGGCCCTCAGGCTGCTCTGTCTGTGGAGTAGCCATTCTTTCATTCCTTTACTTTCTTAATAAACTTGCTTTCACTTTGCCCTGTGGACTTGCCCTGAATTCCTTCTTGGGTGAGATCCAAGAACTCTCTCTTGGGGTCTGGATTGGGACCCCTTCCTGTAACATATTTCTCTGTCCTGTAACACCATGGTTTAAGTATTTTAAATACAAGTGAAACAATATTGTTTTAGAAGTCACATATTTTTTCGTTTCTTATGAATAATGAATGGGTTGTAATCTACTGGGTTAGCTCATAGTAGGTTTTCTTTTTTCGAGACAGAGTCTCACTCTGTTGCCGGGCACCAGGCTAGAGTGCAGTGGCATGAGCTCGGCTCACTGAGGCCTCCACCTCCCAGATTCAAGCAATGCTCCTGCCTCAGCCTCCCAAGTAGCTGGGACTACAGGCTCGTGCCACCACACCCAGCTAATTTTTGTATTTTTTTAGTAGAGACGGGGTTTCACCATGTTGGCCAG